TTACTTTTTGGTTGCTTAGATTTGTATGTATTTATTATCCAAGGAACTCCATTGGTGTGAACTCCTGAAACATAGTTTGCATTAATTTCATATTCCTAATGAAATCTCGTCAAGAGCTCTCAGATCTGCTCCAATATGGAGTGGCTTTTACTAGGCCTGCTGCACAGCTGTCTTCCTGAGACCTCTCTGCACCATCATCCTGGAGATTTCTCTCTCTTGTTTTTCTTTTGTTAGACCTCATGTTTCTGCATCTAATATTTTCTTTTTTATAAGTTTACTTACTTCCTTGTTTTGGTGGAGCACAAACTCCAGCAAATATCTAAAGTTGTACAAAAGAGAAATATTCATAGATCTTACATATCCTAAATATGTTTAATTCTACTCTTAAACTTCATTTGGCTCCCAAACTAGCAAGTTTGAATGACTTTGGAATTCTAGTTTAGAAATCATTTTTCTTCTAACCTTTAAATGAATTTCTTCCTAGTCTTCTAGCTTCTTTTAGGTTGGATGTTGAGAAGTTGAATGAAATTCTCATTTTCATTTTTTTAATGACATATCATCCTCTCTGTTCCTCCTTTCTGCTCTCCTTCCCTCTCCTTTTCTTTCCACTTCACCCTCCTCTTCCTCCTTTCCCCTCTTTTCTCTCTCTTTCCCTCAACTTGTAGGATATTCTGTTTATCTTGATTGCTCTCAAAGCTCATAATGTTGTACCTTGATATGAATATATTTTTATTCCATGTCATGGGTCCTTAATTACCATTTTAATATGGAAATTACTTCCTTTTTAATTAATATTATTGAATTATCTCCTTGATTTCCCGCTGCACTTCTTTCTGTTCTTTCTTCCTATACTTTCTTAATGTGTAAGTTGTACCTCCTGGAAAGTTTTTCCAATTGTTCATCTCTTGCCTTTTAATTCTAGTTTCTGGGAGATTTTTCTTAACTTTAATTTCTACCTCTTCCTCTTTTCATTTATTTATTATATTTTTAATTTCCAAGAACTTGTTTTTATATTTTTGAGTACAGTGTTTTTATTGCAACTTGTTCTTTTTTTAAATTTTGGCATTATCTTCTATTTTCTAAAGACTATTAATAATTGTTTGACTCACTTATTTTATCTCTCTTTTACATGTTGTTCTCTCTGTGTAGTCTCTATTGTGGCTGGTGATTTTTTTTCACTTTGTTATTTTGGCTCCTTTTGTCCATATTAGAAGTTTTTCTAACATGGCAATTGTAATCTTCCTTTTTTTTATTACAGCACTCTTATCCTCAACTTTACTGAGTCTTCTTGTCCAAAAATCTCTGTTTTATTATTCTAGGGTACAAAATCCTCACCTTCTGTGTGGATGGGGAAATATAGTCACCTGGTTGCTCAAAATTCGGGAAGAGATCTGAGGGCTTAATCACTTCTTAAATAGACTTTGGATAAGTGTTTCTTTGTTAACCCCATATGTGCCTCTCACTTTCACAATTGATTTGTTGCTTATTCCTTAGCTGTTGAAAATTTCAAAGACATAATTAGCTTCTCTGCTTTCCCTTTTGATGTCTTAGGATTTAGTTTTCTTAAAACTGATAAATCAGTTACCACTCTCACATCATCCTTCTTTATAGCTACAAAATTGTACTAATATGACTTCTTTCCTTTCTGTTTGTCCTTATGGATTACTGCCTTAAACAATTTCTGTATAGCTATATTACTGGAATTCAAAGACAGAGTAGATCTAAATATCAATTTTCAATCTATAATTTTTAATTCAAAGTACAGCCCAAATTAGAGAAGAAAATTGCCAAAAATTCAGGAAACATATAAATTCAAGTTGTGTAAGTATTTCCAAAATTATATTTCCCAAATTTGCCAACTAAGAAGAATCTTTGGATATTTTATCAAAATGCATATTCCTGGGTTTACTTCAGATTCACTGAATTGAAATCTTCAGGGAAAATTCTAAGGAATATGTATTTTTAACAAGTGTACAAAGTGATGGCTATGATCAGCCAATTTGTGAAGCACCATTTTAAGAAGTGAAAAGATGAAAATTTTCACAAATAATTTTATAGTTTTGATATCAAAAATAAGGAAACATTTGCATACACACAAGCTGTAGGACACTCTCAATTAGAAACATAGATTCAAATTTTTAAATAAATATTAGCAAATAAATGTAACATTATAATAAAAGAATAATAAATTATGACCAAGTCACAGATCTTTAAAAAATTGTGAGGATAAGTCATTATGAGAAAGATTTTTGTTTTGGTTCTTATAAATCACATTAACCCTTTAAAGAAGAAAATCTATGTGATTATCTCAGGGCAGCCTAAAATTATCAAATAATAATCAACATACTTTTCAGATGGTAAGCAAACATTCAAAGAAAGGTTCTTCACCTCAGTGTTATCTTCCAGAGACCAGCAAACATCTTTCTCAATGAGCAAGTATTAGAATTCTTTCAATAGAAGGCACAAAAAAGACAAAAAAGTGACTATTATCTCTACTATTGAATATAGTCCTGGAAACTTCCATCAATACAATAAAGATAAGAAAAAATAATAGAGGTATAAATATTGCAAAGAACTAGTCTGTAATTTTCTACTTATAAAATCCAAGAGAATCAACTGAAAAGTAATGAGAATTCATTTAAATGTCTGGATACAAAATTAACATTAAAAAATTCAATAGAATCCATAAATTCAGTAAACTAAATAGAAAAAAGACAAATGAGAATTCAGCAACAGTACATCATATAAGTAACATTTCAAATTAGTGGAGAAATGATGGAGTATTTATAAAATTCTTTGGAGAATGTAGTTTTTTAATTTAGAAAAAAAAGCATCCAAAAAATAGATAATGTGCTAAGTAAACTGATGGTAAAAGATATAGAACTGACTAACAAGCGCATTCAAAAATTAAATCTCACTACTACTGAGGGAGATACAAATTAAAATATCAATCAGATATTTGTCCATCAGATGGGCACACATTTAAAAAAAATCGATGCGTACCTGTGTTTGTGAGAACAGTGAGCACAACACATATATTTTCGTAGTAACACAGAATTTTAAAGTCCATTTGGAGGAATTTTACACATTTTACCAAAAATTAAAATATATGAAATACTGGTTCAGGGGTTCTATCTATACTAATCACTCATATAAAAATACTCTCACATAAGAAAAATTTATATGTCCCCAAATGTTAATTGAATAATTGTTTGAATGGTCAACATATGCCTTCCCAGGTTCACCAACTGGACTTCTTTTCTGTCCAGTTTGTCCTTATTCCCATTCTTATATGTAGAGAGATCCCTACCCCCCAGTATTTTCTCTGGACCAGTTAAAGCTTTTATCAAGAGGAGAGAATTAACTTTTATATCCGTGTGACCTGTGTGTTGTCTCCCTGAGGATTTCCAGGTAAGCCATATGAGAGAGGACACTTTTACTTTATAATGGGGTGGGGGAGACGTGAGGGATCTGAAGAGGAGGCTTTCCTTGGCCTTGCCTCTTGGCATCAGCTTTGTTTTTTGCAAGCAAGCAAAGTGCCAAGTTTATTAAAACATAGTACATTCCACAGAAGGAATGAGTTAACCCCGGCAAGTGGAGGAGACTCTGAGTTTAAGAAGATTTTCCCTTTCTTGCTGATTCCCTAATTTTATGTTAAGTAGGGGGTGGAATATTCATGGTTTTTCTTGGAAAGGAGTGAAGAATTCCCAGAACTGGGAACTCTCCCCATTTTTAAGCTTGTAAGGCAATTTCCGGGTATTGCCATGGTATTTGTAAACTGTCATGGCACAGGTGGGTGTGATTTTTACTATGTTAATGAGGGTTGGCCACTTGAGGATACTATCACCTTGTACCCATGCTCCAGAGACCCTCTTTTGTGGCCTTGATCACATGTCCATTTCGTGGCCTTTCTACCTCTTCCTAATTGGTCAGTCCTTGGAGATTCCTTATTGTATGCCAAACATCTGTTCAGTCCTTGGGGATCCCTTGATACATCATCTGTTCCTTCTTGGAAACCCCCCTTCTGGTCAATATGTTCCTACTGGTAGACAAAGCATCTCCTAACATCATCTATTTCTCAATAGAAACTCCCTAGACAAAGCACCGTTTCCTCTTCCTCCTTGTCTCAACCTAACAGATGGGTCTGGATCTCAGGCATTTAAAGAGACTTCAAGGATTGGGAAAGAGACAATGGAGGTGGTGGGCTGGGAGGGAAGGTCAGAGAGAGCTTGAGCCTTCTGCAGGCAGACCAGGATGTCAAAATGTCATATTTTGGGTAAAATATTTCTAGTTTCCTTCAGAGCCAAAATGCTGAGTGTGTGTGTCCAGGGAAGTGTGTGTGGCCAAATAAGTATGGGGATTTCTGGGTCAAGAAAAAATTGAGATTCCTTTTTGTTTATTAGTTTGTTTTAAATCAGGACATGTCAGAGACTTTAATATGCTTGCTTGGAAACATAAAGAGATAAATGCGTTGTGTAGCTGATCACTGCTGATTTTTTTTTAAAGCAAATTTAAAATTTTATTGCAGGGCGAAACAAAGCCAAGAAGAGGTTTCCTCTGTAATATAGGACAAACTTTTTTTTAAGAAACATTTTCCCCAGTGCCTCTCACATAGCCCAGGAGGCTAGCTGACCCCAACTCCCTTTTTGTTTTTTCTCCCAGACTTTATGTCGGGTTTCAGTCTGAAATGTTGGTTCTTGGTGCACTCATGGTCAAAGAATGACCAGATGCACTAAACATTAGGTTTATCCAGGAGAAAAAGATAGGATTATAGAGCAAGATATAGGTTTACAGAATGTGATACATATGCCACAGATGACGACCAGACCCCTTGTTGTAGCAAAAGGGAGAGAGTAGAAAGAGCTTGGCATCAGCTTTGAAGAACTGAGTCATCTTTACTACTTTTCACTTACTGGGCAATCTACCTGCATGGCCGTTAGCCTTTCTTTATCCTTTTTTGTCTCCTTTTCCTTTTTTATGCTTTCCATTTTCCTTTTCCTTCTTTTTTTTCTTCTTAACGCATTAACCTTAAAAGATGAAATGCAAACAACTTCATAGGCCGATCTGGGTAGTACTTATGTCAAAACATGAAAAGAAGGTAGGGGTGGGGAGGAAAACCAAATAAAATAGCAAAACCATGTTACAAATGTTTTGATATAGGCTGAAAATAAATCAAATAGGTGTTTACATGTTAAGTATCGTGCTGAATGTTCTCTACTGTAAAGCTTTCACAGCAGATCAATACTGTTTACACCACTCACTCGCAGCAAGTAGTAAATGCCTTTCACCTCATCTGTTTCCAACCATTTAACATTGTTAAAAATATAGCTAGAAACATCAATTGGAGCGATTTCTCCTAAACTAAAAATGGGTCATTTAGTCTTGGTGACATTCATTGTGTGGAAGTAGGGTTTCAAGAAAGAAAGAAGGAAAAATCACACAATAAAATGTAGATATATTAGTTTTCCAAGTTCGTGAGAGTTAAGTTGGACTTCAGGGTTCAGTAAAACTTACTGGAACAAGGAAAAAAGAATTCTGTTCTTGTACTGTACTTCTAATGTGTTTGGTACATATGCACGATGGATTGGCTCAAAAATTGATTATGCTATAAGTATATCAAGTTGAACAATAACTCTGCACTTCCAGTTCTGGATATTTGTCATGTCAAATTTCCTCAGCAGCAGTGAAAATTGGTGATCAATGCCATTTAAAAAGGAATAAGATATTCATTATTAATAAACATGGCAAGGCTGAAATGAGATAATTAAGTAGAAATAAATTAAGTTTTACTTTATTCCAAGGGGAAAACCTGCTAGGATTGATGGCTGAACTCATTTAATTAATGCTTTAGTACAATTCAGAAGTAGTAGTAAGATTGAGGAGTGGCACATACTATATAAAGTTCCAAAAAGTGAATGGGGATACATTAGAATTAGAAAAATTGCTACTCTGCCAAGCTTCACATTGCCCACATTAATTGTTTAATTCTGGCAGCATGTTTGCTTGAATAGGTTTTACTTTCTGGGGCCCCAAATCCATTTCTGCTATATGACCGGCTCAGGGAAGAATGAAACTTTAACTTTTGGCCCCAGTAAATTATGACCTAGTTTATGCCTCTTCTAGTTTGTGAATATGCTCACTTTTCCAGAGGTCCAATGGGAAGTGTTTGAACAGTCCATTGGCAAGTGGGCATGACCCCCAGCTGCTTCTAATTCACCACTGCATTGCAGTGGAGAAGCTGCAACTACATTTCCCAGAATTCCTTTCCCTTTATTGTTCCAGTTTTAGAGTCAGCCAATAAGAGGCACTTATATAAGAGTTGAAGATATTAGAAAAGGATGTGTGAGATCAAAGCAGATATCCAGCTAATGCTTGAAAGCCACCATTTTACTCATGTAGACTAGCTGGTTAGCTGGTGCAAATTTCTTAGAGATTTTTAAGATTTGCAATGGCTTATAGGTAAGCTGTTGATAATCTTCTACATCAAGTTTAAGATACCCTCTGGTACTCCCTGACCTTTATTCCGCTGTACTTTTCAATGTTTGATAAACTTAGTTTCCTTTTTAGAACCCTTCACACTTGGAATAAATAGAGTTGCTTCTCTTTTCCTTACCAGACTTCTCTGATATAACATCATCGTTGGAGTCATTGTTGGATCATTGGAATGGAGTCCTTCCCTCTAATTTTGATAAATACCTTAACTAGAGCTGAGTACTCTCTTGGACACAAAGCTAGAATTACAAATACTAAAATCTTTCTAAGTCTCTTGCCTGGGTCACTCTGGGCATGATATGATACCTCTTGTTGTGATTAATAAAGAACATATGATACCAATCAACACGACTATCTAGGCTGAATATCAGAGTTGCTTCTGTCTTGAAAGTCAGAGACAGAGAGAACTTCAACGAGCAGTGGTAAACTCAGCAGAAAGTGAAGGCAAGGGAATATTCAGGAAGAAGACTGAGGATATGGAGGGGATGTTTACCATGGAAGACCCTGGGAGGGAAGTGATGAGAAAAAAAATAAGAGAGAAAAGGAACAATGAGCATGTTAAAGGGTCAAAGGTAAGGAGCATAGTTAAAAGGAATGGGAGTGAGAGAGGAAAACAGGAATGTGAAGCATGAAATTTTAGCTGGCACAAAACTTCATCTCTAAAATCAGTACAGTTGAAACTCTTCTATTAGAATAGTCTGACTTAATGAAATTGTAATCAGAATTTATTCATTTAGTCAGACAGAAGGCACTTATTGAGCATCTTCCATGTTGCAGTAACTGTGGTGGATGGCAGGTTTATAAAGATAAACAAAATAAACATGACTTTATTGAAAGTGTTCTCCAAAGAGTGGGGGGTTATAAAGAAGAGTTAATATAATTTTATCTGAATTCTACCAATTCAATTGAACCTAAAAGTTATCTCCTTTTCTAAGGGAAACATCTTAGAGCATTCAGCATCCAATCAATCAGGATGCTCTCAAGGCTGTTAAACATCCTTGCTGATCATGTACGCTTCCCACTGGGTAAATATTGGAATGTCTTAATTAACACTCTCGGTTGCAAGCACAGAACCAACTCAGTTTAGGTTAAAAATATAAAATAAAATTGTTGGTCATATACTGATTGTTGCACATTGCATTCTCCAGAAGGAGATAATGAGATGGAATTTGGCATGTAAGAAATTTATTAGGGATCCACACCTGTGGAAATGAGAAGGTGGAAACAGAAATAGTCAGAGGAAGAAGTTGAATTGTGACACAGATGTGGCAAAACCTTAGTCAAACTCATGAGGAACTCTGAAGCATATAAAATCTATATAAATCATCCTGTGATTGGCCTGTTACTATATCCCTCCCCCAACTATGATCCGGGCCATACTGGAATGGGAAAGCTTTGAGGGAAGACAGCTCTTTGCAGCTGAGGCACACCCTGAACAGCTGATACATTCTCAGCAGCTAGATCAAGGGAGTCCTTTTCTGAAGAGGAATCTGGATGGCAGATCTTCATGTGCACCATGTTAAGTTATCTTAAGTGGTCCAAGAAAAAAGAGAGTAATCAGGTCTTCCAGAAGGGTGGGAGGCCGGGCAACTTTAGACTACAGCAGTAGAATTTTGTGGATTTTGTTTCTATATCTGTATCTTTAATTTTATTGACCTTTTGATCTCTACTCCTTTTGTCTTCCAATTCTAATTGCCAAAACGAGAATTTGATTGGCTCAGATTTGATTAGGTGATCAACCCTGCTTCAGTCATTTGTAGTTAAACTCATGTAGTTTGAATATGGCTACCAGGGTTGAGTGAGAAGATAAGATGATGTGGGTGGTGAATTAACTCTTAGGGCAAAGGAAATGGTTCAGGGATTGGGAAGACACTATAAAAGATGGTCATGTACTCAGTACCCATTAGAAGTCTTCAGGGTCTTTTAAGGGTCATTTTATGTCTGTGGCCTACCATCAGTCAATGCCTTAGGATACATTTTCATGATGTAATCATTGTAGACAGTCTCTAGGAACTAATATAGAGCATCCATGATAAAGGTGTCTAAATGAGGGTGGAGAGAGGGAGAGTAATGTGAACTAGAAACAGAAAGCATCTTATTCTTTCATTATTGCTTCTGACATTCATCACACAGATGTTAAGATGTGACTACTCCAAAAATAAAGCAAGAGCTATAACCCTTTTAAGAGCTACTCAGTTTCTAATATGTTTTATGTACACAAGAGACTATAATTGAAAAATTCCATGGCTTACCAGATAAAAGCAAGAGACTGCTCAGCAGAAATAGAGAATAGTGGAGGTTAAGTAGTCCTTGAAGTCTGAGTCTGTGCTAGTACATTATGATGAATAGAAATCACTGTCTTTTTTTTTTTTAAACATAGATACTTTATAGTGTTGAAGCTATGCTTCACCAGAAAAGGCCAGATGGCAGAGATATACCAATTGTTTACTTCTCAAAAACAATGTCATTTATAATATGAGAGCACACAAAAGCCCCATCAATCAAAAGCTATTGCCTCAAGGCAGTAATGTAGATTAAATATGCTGAGGGTCTCTCCATTATAAAACAACTAGATTTAGGTAAAGTAGAATTTTTAATGAATTGCTAGGGCAAAATAAGGAAAATCACCAAGTAACTAAAAACAGTGAACTAAAAACGTGAGAGGAAATGCATCCTTTTCAAGAGCAAATAGAACTCTTATAACAATTCACCATTTGCTATATCATAAAACAATTCTCAACATATTTTAAAGGATTAAAATCACGTGAAGTATGTTCTCTGACTACTGATTAATTATCTTATAAATAAATAACAAAAGATAACAAGAATATGCCCATAAAGTTAAAAATAAAGCAATGTATTTTTAAATAATTCATTGGTTAAAGAAGAAACAACATGGGAAATAGGAAAAAAATGTTTGAATTGAATGATAATACAAATATATTAAATCAAATGTGGAATTCACTGACAATCATGTTTAAAATGAAATTTATCTCATCAAATTTATATTTCAAAAAGAAGAAAAGCTGAAAATCAATGATCCAAGTACCTGTACCTGAAATTTAGAAAAAGAACAACATAGTGAATCTAAAGTAACAAAAGAAAGGAAATTTTAAATATAAGCACAGAAATGAATAAAATAGAAAAAAACTATAGAGAGAATCAAAAAGGGAAAATCTTGTTTTTTTTGAAAAGACTAATAAAATGGAAAAAATCTTGGCTAGATTAATCAATGAAAAAGAGAGAGATTCACATAATCAAAATTTAGAATGAAAAGGGCAACATTACTACAGATCCCACAGGCATTAAAAATATATTAAATATTATTTTTGCCCATAAATATAAATATATAGATGAAATGAATAAATTCTGAGAAAACCACAACATTAAAGCAGTACTTAAATAAAAAGGAAATCTAAATAATCTTATACATATTAAAGAAAACCTTCCCACAAAGAAAAGTTGTAGTATACATGGCTTTCCCAATAAATTCTACCAAATAATTATGGAAGAAATAACATCAATTTTGCACAAA